CAACCAGTTGAGATAAAGTTCAGAATCTTTAAAGTAGGGAGTAACCCTAAATAATCTGGCTCCATCATGAAGATACCTAAGATCTACGTCGAAGAGGCTCAGGCTATCAGGGCCATCAGCGGGGATTTTGCTAGAGTCTTTTTGCCCTAAGGGTTTAGTGACTCTATAAGAGGGGAAGAAGTCTTTAATGGCGGAATAGTCAATACCTGGAGGGGGTAAAGGGCCAGACATGGCTAAAGGTTTCCCTGCAACAGTAACGAGAATGATTACTTGAGATTCATAAATGTGGCGTTTCTCCTCTACCAAGGGTTCGCGAATGAACTATTGGTTCTTTACTACCTGGGGACCGCTCAAGCTGGCAAAGGGAGGAAGAGCTGATGCAGAGGTTTGTCCTTTGAGTTGCATTTTCTTCTTTTGATGATCAGCCATTTTTGAAGGAAGTAAGAGTTTGTTGGTTGGGAAGCAGAAAATTAGAGGAAGAAAAGCAAGGATGTTGTGGAGAGTTAGAGAAGTTGGGAAAATGAAAATATCAGAAGAGAATTACTTATATAGTGTATGAAAGACTGGAAGTTTTCATCATTAAGGGGCTAGAGTTAGTGGGCCACAAGTGCGCTTAGATGTAGGATGGCAGAGGTAGCAGTTGCAATTCACGTCCCCGAGGTTGGAAAGGTGATGATGACCCACGATTTTGTTGATTCCCGAGAAAATCGCCATGATGAAAGTGACATCAGAAACGTGCATCAAGGTGGTGGAACAATAGCTTGCGTGTTCCTATCTAATCTTCTTGCTTCTCTTTCATTCCCTTTCACCTTCCCAGACTGGTATTGGTTGAAAGAATATCAGACGACACGTATGAGGACAAGCGGCTTCGAAGGTCGCATGCTGTCAAAAAATGTGCTTTTCCATATTCGAAGTCGAAAAGACATTTTTTGGGGGGCAATTTGTTAGCTCCTAAATTCGACGCCTCATATAGAAGAAAGGAATTCAAGATGAAAGGGCCAAAGGAAATTTGAGAACGAGAGAGTGGTCGAAAGAGGTAAAGCAGTCAAAAGAAGAAGTCGAAGAACTCACCCAGAAGCCAGGAGTTCGACCGCTTGTTGTTATGGATGGTTTGTCGAAGGATTTGAAATTCAAAAATTGGAGGGAACGGTTTTGCTTGTTGAATATTGAAGGAGACACATGTCACCTTATGAGCAGTAGATCCATGCATTTATGACAAGTGGCGAAAGGAGGTGATGATGGAGGTTATTAGAAGTTATTTTTTACTACTATAAATAGGATGTCTTAGACATAGCCAAAGTGTGTTGTAATTTACTACTGTACAAATTACTCTTAGAATTACTCCAAGTATCCGAGCATAGAGAAAGCGAGTATTATAGAGAATGTACGTGATGTAAACACACCATCTTTTAACTTAATGCAATTTGCTTTATTTTGCTTTAAACTTTACAAAGTCTTTTATTGTCTTTGCACCTTTCTTCCTTACTTTATTTCTTTTTCTTCTTCTTCCTGTGTAATTATTTTCTCTTCGTCCTTAATCTAACTTCACTTCTCCAAACAAACTTTATTCTCTCTTTCATTGAAAGCTTTATTTTACCTTTAAGTTATCCCGTAGTCGAATAGATGTTTCTTTAAGATTCTTTCACCCCAATACTGTTCGAGTGTGCAACTTGGATAGACTTTTAAAACAAAAAGCCTTTTAGCACATGTCCTAGGATCAATCTGATCGATCCTGTGAGTCACCAAAGTTAGATTTGGAAGATCAGCGGTTGTTTTCCGATTTTCAAGGGAAACAGAAATATAGTTAGTTATCATACCTTGCATAAATCTCTCAAGAATATCGAAATCTTCATTTGTAATCAAGGATGAAGATGTTCCTTTGAGCCAATCCTGGGTGCAAATCAGTGCTTCAACTGTTGTAGGTGTTAACGAGCTGCGATATGGATCAAGCACTCTTTCTCCTGTACTTAATACAAATTCAGACGCCACTGTGCTTATAGGTATAGCCAGCACGTCTCTTACAATGTTTGCAAGGATGGGATATCGGCCAGAGTTAACTCTCCACCACTCTAAAACATTTATCTCCATGTTATGCTCCAACTTCTCTCCAAGATAAGTACTTAATTCATTATCTGCATTGTCACACTCTTCTAAAAGATAGAACTCAGGAATTCTGTAAGGATGACTAACACTACCAAAAACTTGCGGCTCATCTGAATTACCTTGAGGAGGCATAAATCCAGCACAATATTCTTCATAAATAGATTTCAAGTAGAAATCTAAGTTTGCTTTCAAGGCATCGACATCATCCTTATTGTAGTACCGCCTTACCACCCAATCAACCAATTTAATCTTGCGCATATGGTCGAAAACTAGACAATCAACAACATCATATTAAGCTTCTCATGAGATCCCCAATACTTATCATACTTCTTCTTCATCTTTTGAGCTGCTGAACGTAGATGTTTATCTTCAGACGCACACATATCCACAATGCTCTTTCCAATACCCAGGACCTCAAACATATAAATATTGCTTGTCAAATAAGATGACCCTGATATGTGTACTGTAGCATCATAAAACAACTTCAAGAATGGAATGATTAAGTTGATATGCTTCCAATCATCTCTCTTCGGGACACCTTTTCCTTTCTTTGTCAACTCATTCACATACCTAGCACAACATAAAATGTTTAACATAAATTGAAGTATGATATTTAACACCTTATGATATCTACTTAAGGCAGATAAACAATTTGATTTAGAAATATATGATATTTTAATGCATTTAACCGACAAACATGGTCCTTCAAATTTCAAAATAAGTTGTATTCTATAATGTATAACGTGATCTTGGTCACCATAGGACTCAATCTTTTGTCTGAATTTGAAGAATGTTGTCACCTAAGAACTCCATAACATGAGACAAAAGGGTTATTTTCTGTTCACACACACCTACCTAGTATTATATTATAAGATAATTGTCCTTATCTGCATGATCAAACAACACATATATATTTGTAAATCATGCACAGTGATTTCAACCTTACAACCAAACCATTTGGTTGATAATATCGGCAACTGAAAGATAAATTTCCTAGTTTATTACGTCGACATTGTATCACCATATTCATGGACAAAAATCCTCACTCAGAAATTCAATTCCCTCTTGGATTTAGATTCCATCCTTCTGATTAAGAACTTGTAGTTCACTATCTACTTCCTAGATCAGTATAAATTTACAACTTATGATATCTATTTCCCATTTTCTTTTTGTGGGAAGCGACAAGCAGAGCAAAACTATTGACATCTAAAAGAGGTAATTAGAGAACCTACAAAACTCTAACATCAAAGTATAGTATAGTATATGCATATGATTGAGAAAATGGAGAAAGTATCTGATGAAGAAGCTTTCCTTTTTGCTATGGAACTAGCATGTGCTTCTTCTGTTCTAATGATTCTAAAATAAGCTTTGGAACTTGGCATCATTGAAGTTATAGCCAAAGTTGTCCCTAATGCTAACCTTTCATCTTCCCAAAATTAACAAACATAAACAAAATAAAGTTTCACGTACCTTTTATCTCGAAAACCTAATTCTTCAAAGGTTCTTTCATGTTTTGATGCGGATACTAACACTAAATAAGTTGAATTCCAACGAGTCTCAACATCTAGAGAAACTAAACCTTTATAGTCCATGCTCTCATCATCAATACATGCCTTGAATTTAGCAAGCCCCAATTGTTCAAACACATCTCCATTGTTTCATAAATAGCATCCCCTGTATGACTTGTGACTTGACAAAAATTTAAAATCTTCTTCTGTAAGTGCCAATTATTGTCAATGAAATGGGCCGTCACACACATATAGCTCAACTTTTGACAAGAAGTCCACATATCAGTGGTGAGACAAACTCTTCGACAATTCAGAGAGAGAAAATTTTTTAAAATTATCTTTTCTGTGTCCCACAGTTTCAAGACATCACATGTCAATGTTGTGCGCGAACAAATCTGAAATCTTGGTGAAGCGAGACTCATAAATTCATGAAAAAACTCATGTTCGACCTTCCGAAAAGGAATCTCCATGTTTCTGAACATTTTAACCATTGCTCTTCGAATGGCTTCTTGGTCAAACTTGACGATTAAAGGAGACCCAACATGTTCTTCAGCACTTGTCATAGAAGACGATGTCCTTTTCCTCTTGTAAAAGAGGCATCTCGATAAATGAGCATGCATGGAACTAGTTTCCTTACTATACTTAATTTTTATGTCACGGTATTTGCACGGAGCTTTTGTTCTTCTTCCGACGATACATTGAAATGATTCCAAACCTCTGAACGATTCTTTCATTTCTTAATGTGAGGAGGTGGAATTTCACTAGAGATTGTAGGTGGAGGGGTTGAAACAGTATTCTCGGATGTTGCATAAGTTGTGCCAACATTAGTCATCTTGATTCAGTTTAAATTAGGAAAGTAAATTAGAAACGCATAGATTATTTATTCTTAAAATACAATTTTCAATTAACTAGAAAGGCAAAGAGATTCGAACTTAATACATCCATTTGTTAGACATGAATTTGACAGCACAAAACAAAGGCAAGGGGATATCAACACCATAAAACAAAGACAAAGAGACACTTAAGTGATTTATATATGTTGTGTTATCCAAGCTTCAAAACTGTTTAGTTCATGCACTTCTAAGAACAAAGGCAAAGTGACTTCTCACAATCATGTACTCATCCCCAAAATCATTCATACTATCTGTATGTTGGCCAAGTGATTGTATTAAGAATTATTTCATCAAAAACAAACTATATTTTTTTTCATATGCAAATGAAAGTCTTCCTAAAAGACAAATTAAAGTTAAATTGCAGCAAAAGAGGGAGAAATAAATAGGTTGCATGCTTAAAGTTATAGAATCTGCATAATACAGAAGTGTCATCCTGGTAAAGTGGAACCCGGTTGCTAATGTGAATGGCATTGACATATGGACCTTCCTAAGAACAATGGATGTGCCTATTAATTCATTGCATTCTCAAGAATATGTTTCCATTGGTTGTGAGACATGCACAAGACCAGTTTTTCCTGGACAACATGAAAGAGAGGGAAGATGGTGGTGGGAGGATGCCAAAGCAAAGGTGTGTGGTCTTCACAAGGGTAATTTGAAACATGATGATGCTGCCCAGAATAATGGTAATGGAAATGGTATGGCCCATGCAAATGGCTCTGCCACAGTTGCCAACATTTTCAACTCTGAGAATGTGGTAAGCTTGAGCAGGGCTGGAATTAAGATTCTGGCCAAATTGCAGGACAGAAAAGAACCCTGGACCGTTGTGCTCTATGCACCATGGTGCCGCTTCTGTCAGGTAAAATGATATGCTCTTTGTTACCATTGAGTATCTCACTTATAGTGTATTACTTCATTTTGCTTGAAATTTCCATTTCCATTCTCTAATAACATGTTTAATCTAAACTCTAACAGGCTATGGAAGAACCATATGTGGATTTAGCGGAGAATTTAGCAGGGTCAGGAGTGAAGGTTGGAAAATTTAGAGCAGATGGCGATGAAAATAGATCGAACAACTAATATAATGAAAATAGATCGAACATCTGGTATGCAAGCATAACAACTGAGATTTTAAAATTATAGCAGTATAGAAAATGTTCAAAAACTAACGGGCTCACCTGTGCACGACCACGACCGTATCTCAACACCTCCGCCTATTCAACAACCCAAACAACAAAGCTCCCATCTTCAATGTATATGTCCTCTGCTGTTACCTCATATCACTAACCGTCCTCCGCCGTTACTTAACGTCCGTCCGCAACTTCCTCCGTCGCAGAACTATTTCGATAAACCCATGATTGTGATTTAGAGAATTAAGATACAAATGAGATTAAGGTTTGAAATTTGAAGAATGATGAAGAAGAAAGAGATGAATAAAATTTGAATTTTGAGGATTAGGGTTTCTGAAATTTGTGTTGATCTTGATTTTCCCAAACTATTTTGCTTTTGTTTCTGAAACATACTGAAAAATGGTTATCGAATCTCAATCCAGTTTGGAACAAATGGTTACTGTTTTTTTTTTTAATTTGATAAATGGGCCACCAAATTTAAAATATAAATTTGGTTTGGATTTTAAAATTTAGATTAATTTGAATAGGAATTTGGTTTATCGTTATTGGTTATTTTGCACACCCCTACATGTAAGGCTGTGTTTTCTTAAATAATAAGTGTGATGTACGATTTAAGACAAAACTTTTATACTTTGAGTGTTGTCTAAAGAAAAAGCACTGACTATTATATATTTTTAATTTATCTTTTTTTTTCTTCTTAACACATACAACATCACTTATGTATAGAGGTGGCAAAATGGGTTCGGTCCGTTGAACATACCCATTTTGTTCGAACTTTAGTGTGGGACGGGCTAAGAATTTAAACCCTCACTCTCTAATGTGTTCGTCCCGCCCCACACCGTTTTCTACGCGGACTTTTCCGAACACATGTATTTACATAAATTTTTGCCTTTTTAGAAATAAAAGGTGTTGTGCCTGCGAGATTTTTCAACCCCGCCCTCACTCTAGTGCAGGGCGAGGCTAGGTTTTAGGCTCATATCCTCAAATATATCCGCCTCGCCTCAGACCCTTTTTTTGCAGGGCGGGCATACCCGTTTTCCACCCTTACTTATGTAATATATAGTTGTCTAATATAGATACTTTAGCCATCGTTTATTTTCAAAAGCACAGTAAAAAACACTGTCTAACGTTCTTTCGTCTTGTTTAACAATACTTTTTATAAATAAGTGTTGGTTAAGGAGGTGCTGCCTAAACTCACTTTTGGCATAGTGATGCCACGTTATAAATTAAGCTCAATTATGCTCTTTTCTTTACAATTTCTCCACTTTTTCATATTTTTACTTTGTTTATTCACTTCTTTACTTTTTCCTATTTCTTCATAAAATTCAAACATAAATAATCAAAAACTAATAAAAATAATTGCAAATGCTTGTAAAAATTACATGATGATAGACTGTCATTAGAAGGCATTATCAACTTGTTGGTGAACAAGTCCTAATCTAGTTTCTTCATACTTGAGACAAGGAAGAGCATTCTCTAGTGTAGGCAAAGGGTTTTGGTTCAACAAGGAAACTCGAACTGATTCATAATCATCAGTGAGAGCCATCAGAAACTGAATAAGGCGAATACGATTGCGGTGAGTCTCATATGATTTTAGGTCAGTGGCATATTTTAAAGAAGGCTCACATGAGGCCAACTTATTCCAAATAACTTCCATCTGTGGTAAAAACTCATAAATAGGTTGACCATATTGTTGTTTCAAATTACTAAGATCCTTCAATAACTGATATTGATGGGATAAATTAGAGATAGTATAACGTTGTTTTAAATGATCCCATACCTCTTTGGCATTCTTGAATCGCCAAAATTGTAGATGAATACTCGGAATAGAGGTATTTCGAAACCAAGTAATGATTAAATGATTCGTGTTGTCCCATTCCTCATATTTATTGATAAAAGTCTCTAAAGTTTCATCGAAACTTCTCATCGGACACTTTTTATCGCCTGTCACGTACCGCCAAAGTAGACGGCCTTTCAAGAATTCGCTTATTGCTTCAGTCCATTGATTATAATTGGAGCCATCGAGAATTATGGGAATTGGGCGAATAACCATATATTTCTCCATTGTAGCATAATAAGATTTAATCAACAAGAACACAAATACAAGCAGAGATTCCCACCAATTACAATTTCTTGACAGTGAAAGAATTCCCCCTATTAGCAAGCAAAAGCAGCAGAAAGATTGCTTTTGAAAAAATAAACTCAGAAAGAGAAAGAGGTTAAAAAGCATAAACTATGTAATACCATAGAAAAACTTTAAAAAAATATAAATAATATTTATGTGTTGATTATATATTTTCAGTACAAACAAACTCTCCTATTTATAATATAAAATTAAATAAATAAAATAATTACACATAAAAACTAATTAAACCTAACATAATTATAACATAGGATAACAGTAATTATAAAATCTAAAGTGTGCAAAGAAAGTAAAAATAAGGGATAAAAAATAAGAAGAAAATAAAAATAAGAGACACAAAATAAGAAGTAGATGACAAGAAAATTATTTAGCCAACTATAAAAGTAGAGAAGGATGAAAGTGATATATCACTTTATGTATATATAGCAGATAGGTAACTAAAATTTTAAATAAATTTAAAAAAAATCTCTCTGACACACACATAGAGGAAGAACATAGAGCAGATAGAGAAAAGTTTTTGCTTCAATAATGTTTTATTTCACAAAATTGATATGATGATGTGCCTTTATATAGACATGTAAACTTAACTACTCCATTATAAACACAGTATTACATTTTTGGTCCAATCATATGTTTTCTTACACTTAGAACATATGTTTCCTTTATATAGACACAGTAGTCTTCTCTTTAGAGTCTCCTCTTAGAATCAAAACGTTTATTTTGTCCCTTCATACTCTTTGGTCCAATCATATGTTTTGTTGCGGTTGCTTCATTATTATTAATTTCGTTACAGTACTATAATTTATTGCCAACTTTTTTTTATAACAAAAACTATGCACTTATGCAGTACCTTTTCTTGTTAAATCAGTTATTAAAAATACAGAAATATTTTTATAACATAAACTTTTTCCTTTTTCTTTAATTATGTATATTTATTATATTATTTGTATAAATGTTTTTATTTTTATTTTTTAAAAAATAAATTAGTAATACTAAATAGTTAGTAGAAAAGTATTATTTTATTTGAGGTTACATATCAATAAAATGTAATATCTATATATAAATAAAATTAAATATTTATATTTAGTTATTTGAATTTGCATATAGATTATTTTTATAAAAAAAAATTTCATTGAAGGACATTTCTTTTCTTTAAGTACATGACCATTATTAAATTTTAGTATAAACAACCATTTGATTTTATTTAATTTTGGTGTAAATCATGTTGGATTGTTTGAATTATTTACTGTTGCACTAATTTTTCTATTATAGTCCGCCGATTGTGCTGGCGCATGCATAAAAATATTTTATCAAACATTTCTGCACACATTTTCCCATCATCTTTTCATAATTTTTGTTTAGTTTTTCTGAAAATTTTGTTTTGTTTTTTCATGAGGAATAATGCTCCGTTAAGAATTCAGTTTGAGATGGAATGGAAATTCAAATAATTTTAAGCATATCTAAACTATTAATTAAAACAACACCTTAAAGCTTTATATATATATATATATATATATATATATATATATATATATATATATATATATATATATATATATATATATATATATATATATATATATATATAGTACATAAGGTGATGAAAATAATAAGAATGAGAGAATACATTTATTTCTCTGCAATGACAGCTACAGAATAGATGAATGGATCATATATGACAATTACCACTAGTCTAGTTATACTCAAATACTAGGGTCACATAGGCAACATACTAAAATGTTAAATTACCCATGAATACCATCCTTTAATTTAGGATTTTCTAATTAAAACTAACGACACAAATTTCATCCCTTAAGTGGAGAAGTTGATTTGTCTTGATCAACTTTGTCAGAACATCTCCTAGCTCCTTCTGGGTGCTACAGTGCACAACTTCTAGCACTTCATTTTGGACTTGACTTCTCGGAAAATGATACTTTATCTCAATATGTCTGCTTCTCCCATGCAGAACTGGGTTCTTGATTGTAGACTTGTTATCAATCATCAGCTTCAAAGGCTTGTTTACTTTGATCTTCAGATCCTGCAGTAAATTCAAAAGGCATACAACTTGACATGCAGCTACAACATCTGCGATGTACTCAGCTTCATACGTTGACAGTGCAACAACAGGTTGCTTCTTGGAACACCAAGAAATAGGATCCTCCAGAAACATAAACAAGTATCCAGAAGTACTTCTCTTGTCAACTTTATCTCCACACCAATCAGAGTCAGAGTAACTCATCAGCTCTGAATTAGTCTTTCTTCCAAAAGAGAATAGTACTTCATACTTCAGAGTTCCCTTTATATACCTAGAATCTTGACAACAGGTTGGTAAAGGACCACTTAGGTTTATTCATGAACCTACTAATTGTTCCAACTGCATAACACATATCAGGTCTGGTATTACACATATGCCTCAGAGAACCAACCAACTGTTTGAAGGTTGTAGCATCCACATCCTCACCTTCAGAATCAGAATCCAATTTGTGATTGGTTTCTGAAGATGTGATAACAACCTTAGAATTCTACAGCTTAAATCTCTTCATAAGCTCAAGTTCATAACTCAGATGATGCAAAATGATACCCTTTTGAGAGTACATAAACTCCAATCCCTAGAAAATATGTCATTTTCTTGAGGTCGGTCATTTCAAACTTATTCATCAACACCTTCTTAAACTTAGTTATCTCTTGGTAAAAACTCTTTGTCAGCAATATGTCATCAACATACAAACACACTAGAATCATATTGCCTTCAGAGGTATGCTGAACATAGACATCGTACTCCATCTCATATTTCTGAAACCCCTGCTCCTTGAAAAATGAATCAATCTTCAGATTACAAGCTCTGGGCGCTTGCTTCAATCCATACAAAGCTTTATGTAATCTTTAAACCATCAATTCCTGATTCCTTTTAAAAAATCAAAGAGGTTCTGACACGTATACCTCTTCTTGTAATGGACCGTTCAGAAATGCAGATTTCACATCTAAATGCATCAAAGGTCAATTCCTGTTAGCAGCTATTGCAATCACCAGTCTAATTGTTTCATGTCTCGCTACAGGGGAAAACACTTCACGATAATCCTGCCCAGGTTTATGTAGAAATCCTCTTGCTACTAACCACTGTCGTTACTCAAAAAACGCAACGACGGGGAGGCGAAAAGAAAGACAGAAGAGTCGCCACGAAACTTTATTTATCCCATGAGAGGAAGGGAAAATATCGAGAAAACCCTAAGAAAGAAATGGATAATATGGTCTCGCAACCAAGAACGGGTTCTAAAGCCGTTTATGCAAAGGGAAGGTATTAGCACCCCTCGCATCCATCGTACTCGATAGGAACCATTTGTTTGTCGACGTGTGAACGTATTTGCTAAAATATATTGCTTTCTATGAGTGTTCTAAAGGATAAAGAGAGGTTTAGAAACAGGGGAAAGAGAGGTAATGGGGAAGAAAGGACTTGGTAGGACTTCACGGTCATAGGCCTACGTATTCTCAACAGATATGAGAAAGTCAGAGTCAACGTAGTTCGGGAAACTACAAATATAGAGGGGAATATGCTCGGCAAGGATTGTAGCCCTTGTGCCTACGTATCTTCACTCAAAAGAGATAAAGAATCAGAGCAGTTGTAGTTTGGCCTACGGTTTGCTGGGAAGTTTTGGTAGACGATGCTATCGTGCGCATTCTAGCAGTTTAGGTGTATTGTTGCTCGCTCGTTGGAGACTTAGGCGTTACCTGTTTGCGGTAGAACGGACGTAGCATGTCCTTCTCGGGGAAAATGTGGAAAACAGAAAAGGGTGCTCGCCAAGACATAGTCGTCTTGTGCCTACGTATTCTCAACATGCATGAGAAATTAGAGCAACGTAGTTCATGATACAGGTAACCGGTGTTTTTGGTGGATGATGCTATCGTGCGCATTCTAGCAGTTTAGGTGTATTTTTACACACTCGTTGAAGACTTAGGCGTTACCTGTTTGCGGTAGAACGGACGTAACATATCCTTTTTGAAAAGATAGTTTTCGCCATGCGAGGCAAGATGTCACGTTTGATCTGTGGAGTTGTTTTTAAGGGTGAAATAGGTCCTCGAATAGTAACCCCTTGTGGGTAGTATCCAATTCTTTATCTCAAAGTTTTGCTATGAAAGGTGTGTCGAATACAAGCGTCTTCATATTGAAAGACGAGTATCGAGACCACACACTCTACAGTGAGTATCCTGACACTCGGAGAGGAAGAAGTCTACACTCAATCCTCTCTCTTTAATTTAATATAAAGAGAACTTCATTCTCTTATTAAAGATGTTTTTGATCTTGAATCTTAAGTGCTTTGTGACAGTGAACCCTACGGTAATGTCAGCACTCGGGATATGAGAAAGCATACTCCTAACCACTCCGCGACCATTCAAGTTTTTGTTTGTGAAAAGAAGTTTGAAAATGCACTCAGTACGGGACCGAGGTTTTAGGAGAAAAAGGTTTGGAAAATAAGTTGTGAAAAAGAGAGGTGGTGAATAGAGTTGCGTCTTCGTATTGAAAGACGAGTATCGAGACCACATACTCTACAGTGAGTATCCTGACACTCGGAGAGGAAGAAGTCTACACTCAATCCTCTCTCTTTAATTCAATACAAAGAGGAACTTCAATCTCTTATTGAAGATGGTTTGACAACGTTGGTGAATCGAATCGGGACACAATGTGGCGCTAAACCGTCGTAGCTCGACTTATGAGGAAAGTCAAACTATAGGAGGTTGCGTGATTCATATCCGTGCGAAAACAAGATAGAGAGATGATATTGAGAATCATTCTCCGATTTAATCGTGTCGCATGGGCCAAAATAATGGGATCTTGTCTTAATCGTAAACAAAATATCGATTAATCGAAGGTAGCCTATCGCGATTCTAAAGTAAAGAAAATGACCCAAATGGTCATCTTCCATATA